TTCCTTCACAGAATCCTTTCGCAGAATCTTGTAATCTCCTTGGAAGTTAACGCTAAGATAGTGCAAGAAGTCTTGGAATTGCCAGAGAAAGTAGTTTACAGATTTTGGCTCTATTATTTCCCCCTTGTCACCCGAATAAATCGCTAATCGACTTGGAGTGGCGCAGAATGCATGCTGAGCATTTCTCTGCTACACATTTTCATGGCAAAGAAGTGAGAAAGCGGCTTTTCCTGGACCTCCTTTTGAGCTTTCACACCTCAGTCAGAGCTGAGCCTCAGGTGTGAGGAGGCTGAGAGTGGCCGAAGATGGTGAGCTGCGCCCGAGGCAACAAAAGAGTCCACGTGAAATGCAAATTCTCACTTTTATTGTGCGATCGTGTGGATTGGTAATTGGCTGGTGGGCAAGAAGCCGGTTGCATTGTTGTGTGGCATCTTGTTGGGTATTGTTTGCTTTTTGGTGGACAGCAATATGTGTAACACACAATATGGAATTATCTGCGAGTGATTGGAATTGCACGGATTCTGCATAGATCTGAAGTGGGATGCATAGAAAATTGCCACTTGGGCGAAAAGGACTCGATTATAACAAACGTGCTGCTGAAAAATTCCATGTTGTGTCGTCTCTTCCCAAAGACGACACAAGAAGAATTCCTGTCTTGTTGCCCGTGTCGCTCTCGCCATCTCGCTTCGGCTCAACCTGTGGATGGGCTATTAAAAATAAATAATTGTGTGTATGTTGCGCACATTTTTTGCAATGTACAACTTATTGGCATTGCTGCCGTGTGCTGTGTGATCTCTCTTATGGGCATTCAATCCATATACATACACACAAGAGTGGCCTTTTGTGGCGATGAGAAAGGCAAGAAGAGAGGCAAGAAAAAAGGCTATAAGGGAATCATCATGAAGAAGAAGAACGGTAGGCGGTCTTCGTTATTCAGTGCTCTTCAATGTTATGTTCCACAAGAGTCAATCGCCAGTTTTGAACGCCAATGAAAATCGTAGCACATCAATAGTAGTCACTCCTTTCCTGATTGCATGAATAAAATGGAATATGTTGTGTATTATTATTGCTCCTTCTTTCCACGTTCGTACACTTTTTCACTTTGGGCTTCTTCAGCTCCGCTTAAATGCCCTCGTCGCACTTTATTTATGTCCAAGATGATGTGCCATGCGGGTGTGTGTAAGATCGCAAAGCGAAAGTCTTCTCGCCTCATTTTGCGTCTCTCTGCACGGAGTTTCTGCATCTCAAGGAGCTTCCGTGATCAGTGTGACGAAAACGGAGCGAAAAGAAGCTAAAGTGCGAGGAGGAAATCGTGAATATTATTACGATGATAGTATTATTAGTGGAGTTTAACCCCTTTTTCGACCCTAATTCGAGGGACATTTGGGGTTCTTCGCAAGCGATTCTTGGAAGAAAGTGGAGGATTCTTTCGAAAACGAAAGGTTGACCTGTGAAATCAACAAGTACAGCCAGCACTGAGACTAATTCCCTCAAGTTCAGCACTTGTGTGCCGATCTTGGCTCTTCCTCATCTCCTCTCTCTTCTCATGCACGTTCGCTGACCACGTGAGTTGATCTTTGTGGGGCTCCATTGGTTGCAAATCTCAACGGATGATCTGGATCTGGTTGGTTGCATTTCAGTTGCATCCCGAAAAGAAAACTAATTACACTGATTTATGTACCTATTGTTCATTGTCTCCGCTCTCGTCCGTGGCATGTCCCCACGGGACGGAGCGAGAGAGAGAGAGCGACTCATTGCCCGCCCCTTGGCGTCAGCATCATGGTCATCGTCATCTTTGCATCCTGGCGAGCACTCCTTGGAGGCACTCTGAGTGCAAGTGTCGAAATGTGTGCGCACACATAGAGAAATTCAGTGAGGAAAACATGCTGGAGAACATTGAGAATTCGCTTGTACCGATGGCATGTAGTTGCTGTGAAGTACAGAATTACCATTTACGGGGACACACACCACTCTTCAAAATGCCTCCCGCTCTTGGGGAAATTCCACTCGTCTCCGCGTGTCTATTTACGGGCATATGAGAAGGTGGTCCCGGACAGGAGAAAGATGTATTGCTTCTCGTGCAAAAGAATCCAGCAGCGCACGTATCAATTCTAATTTCGCCCCTAATGTCTTTCCCAGCCAAATTGTATGACTGTGTGTCCCCGAAAGGGGGTGGGAGTCCAGCGAGTGAGATGTCCTCGGGACACGCAGAGATATATGGACGCTCGTGGACTCTTGTCGCTCTCTTGAGATGCTGTGACAAGGATGTGGTCCATTGTTTCGCGTCTTGTACATGAAGGGGAGCGTCTCTCCCTTCTGCATGCAGAATAATTCAAGTCTTTTTAAAACAATTCAACTCAAGACAATAACCGCATCAACCATATGAAATTCCCTCCAGCCTGGCAAAGTCAAATGTATGGCGAATGCAGCGAAGAGGAGATGAGAAAAATAAAATAAGAATTTTAATTAAACATATCTCTCGTGAATATTGTCTCCAAGACACATTCCTCCGCGATTCACTTCGGCGATATGGCAGTGTTGCAATTGATGGACTTTTTCTGCCGCAACATGCGGCTGCAGTGTGTCCTGATTTTTGGCAAGCGCAGCACAGGGAAGACGGAGGATTGAGATTAGGTGTTTTGCGGAAACAAATGGCCCGGCGATGGATGAGTGGGTGGTTTTCCCGCGGGAGGAAATCCTTCATGGCCACGGTTGAATCAAGGTGGAGATAAATGCACGGTTTTCTCGCCTCGGACACACACAATTCACTCTGGGAAGAAAGTGGAATTTATCTCCACCGCTCCGCATTTATCTATTTATCGCGATAATTTATATAATGGCACTCAGCCATATTCAATCTCGGCGAAATTGCGCACTGGCACCAATGGAGCGCCCATTGAGTTTCTGATTTGATGTTTTTCCATATATTAAAATTTTCAACTCAATTAACTTTAAATACTAATTTCCCAGAAACGTGTCTCCGAAGCTCTTCCAAGGCAGCGCCGAAATCACTTCCACCCCCACTCGACCGATAATGTTGTGACTTGCGTTGACAGTGGGGATCGTGGTGGGATGCTGAAAGGGGTGGACAATTGATCGACTTGCGGGGTGGATCTTGATTAGTCCTCTGTGTTTTCCATCATTAGGGTCCTCCGCTTTCATTACACACGCTGCACAATTTCATGGCAATTTTGCGCGAGGAAAAGAAGGAGAAAAGAAGGACAGAAATCACAAAGTTCTGTGCATTGACGCCGAGACGCGGGGTTGGATCTGAGGGCGAGATAAAAGGGCTGATGAAGGAAAGCGTCAGCGACAGACATCTGAAAACACACACCGAACTCATTTGGTGCGGAGGAAGGGAGCTTGCTGTTTATTGATAAGACGATCAAATATTGGAAATTGGCTCTTGTTTCTTCGGCATCGCCCAAAATGCGACAATCGCGAAATTGCACCCAAATGTCTGCCAATGATTTCGTCCTCCGTGAGAGAGGACAAAAAGACACGGAGGAATTTCCTCTGACTCTCCGTGCAAAAGGAGACAATAAGAAGTTGAAGAGGTTTGTTTCACTCAGAGAAATTCACGTGAAACAACAACAAATACAAAAATACATTCATGTTACTGTCTTCTTAAAACCTAATGCAATTACGCATTGATTTGGATGCTTAATCACACCAAATTCGTCTTTAGACGCTCAATCTGCAGTACTTTCTCTGAGTGTTCTTCTCAGTTTCAATTCCCAAACATCCTTAAAAGTGCTCCCACGTGCTCACATCAATAAATTAAATTCAATTTGCGCTTCCTCCGCGGCTCCTCGCCACCCCCGTGAGGAGCGTAGAGACAAAAGGCAGTGAGGAAATCATCTCATTCACAAAATTGTTTATCTCACGTGGTAGAATGTTCGCCTTTGTGGGCTGTCTTGTGCTCAAACGAATATTCCTGCCACAGGCGTCATCAGCTTGACTAAAAAGTGACTTAGAAAGCACGAAGGTGATGGATTTTAATTAGAAATTTAAATTGAGAAGGCAGGCACAAATGAGAAGGAAGTGTGTCTCTGCAGTTCAATCTCAAGGGATGCGACTGACGAGAGAGAGAGATCTGTATCGCAGCTTTTGAGGCTTTGAGCTTCAATTTCAGCTTTTGCCCGTGACATCATCCGATGTTTTCACGGAACTCGACACATAATTTATTAATTAATTTTTATCATACTCGCTTTGTGCTGGCGGGGCTTGTTTTTCGCCGTCATCCCCATCGGACAGTGAATGGCAGCGCGGGAGGAAAAGAATCTTCCTCGACTTTGTGCCTCTCAACTTCACACACACATACCCCGTGTTCCAGGGCGGGCGGGAGGGCGCGCGATAATGGCTGAGAAGGTGGATGACGGCATGTAGTTGGGAATAATTAGCTGGAGGGGATAATTTTAATTAGAGACGCCACGGCGCGGTATCTGATCGCGAGAAGGAAGCCTCTTTTCACAACTTGACGCAGTGCGATTTCCTGCGTCATGGACAGACAAATGCGTCCTTTTGTCTCGTCCTCGACGGCTCTTTTCCTGGTCCTCTCTCACTCTCTCTCTCTCTCTCCCCGCCTCTTCGCATTCCAGGAATCGTCACAGTGATAAGAAACTATAGCGAAAATTCGCGGTATTTGCGAGACGTTGAGATGGCTTTTGGCAACAAAGCTGAAACTGTCCGATCGATTGACGATTTCCCACACTCTTCAGGGAGGATTTCTGCACCATCGCCAGAGACGCGTAATAGTTGATGCGCGCGAGAAGCTTCAGCAGAAGAGGGTGGAAATTCTTGATGCAGACACACAATATTTTAATCAGAATTTATGCGCCACTTTTGCGGCTCAAATTGGAAATTGTTTCGCCATTTCTCCACGCGCTGGAAAATTGCGGAAACACAAAGAATGAAGGGGAGAAAAAGAGGAATTTTACATAATACTCCTCCACTAAAGTGTGACTTTGCCTGTCTCTCTTTCTCGGTGGCGGCGACAGAAGAAGGAGATGATGCTCTCGAAAGTCCCGAACAGAAAGATGTATTAACGTCTGGGTCAGCTAGTCCATCATCAACACAATCTCTTGAGGGTGCTCCAGCAACAACATCATCAACAATGCTCCGAGATCCGGAATCGCATCATTCCACCACCCCCACAAGTCCGCAGCCTCCGCCGCACTTGATTGATTCACACGATGACGTCGAGCACAACATACCTGCTACCCTCATACAAGACCCGAGTGTCGAGCGGTAAGTGAAATTAATTGTACATTTCGATATCTCTATATTATACAGAGCATATATTGTGGCAAATAATTTATGGACCCCCAACGCTGGGATTTATGTCTGAGGGATGGCCCGGGACGTCTGCAAATTCTCCGCTCCACTCATCAACTGTTAATGAGTTTCGGCGACTTTTTGCCACCGCTTGTCTGTTGAGCTTCAATTTTTTACCCACCTTCGGTTGGGGCGCATTAAAATACCGATCGTTCCGTGTGTAGTTAATTAGCAATAATAAAATGAATTGGGCAGAAAGATAACTCAGCGCACTGTTAGTCATATCCGAGGGGAAAATGCATTAAAGACATTCGCATAATGGCTAAAACCCTACGACTTTTCGGGCAGAACAGTGAGAATTTAAGGGTTACAATTTCAAGGCCAAAAACCCTACAGATCTGCGAACACGAGAGGAAGGATTGTGAAATGAAAATTTCCGCAATGGCCCAAAAAAGTGATTGACGAAGAACGGGAGTGAATTTAATTTCATAAAACTCCTCTTGTCAATAGACAATCGACAATACAATTTTTCCTCCATCATGTTGGTTCGATCATTTCATTGCTATTTATCCGTCCATCCATCAATTGAGCCATCAATCAAGTGCGATGCATCGCACACGAGGGCGTGTGGGTGGAAAATCCCACCCCGCCGCAGATATTTCGGTGAGGATTTGTTGACTGGCCGGCCTCAATGTGTGTGATGACCAAACCGCAGAGGAGCAGACACGGTTAGTTAGTTATTTATAGCCGTCATTTGGTGTGAATACATTAAATTACGCATCCCTGGGACACAGCGCCCGCCCGCCCACTCTTCAAGAACTGCCAGGCAATCGATCAAGTCACTGTCTCATCCAACATTCCCCGCACGGGAATCCACATGCTGTGGGCCACTTCAGAGCATGATGTGAGACGACACAATATTCACCACTAAATCACTATGATGAGGATTTACAGCTGAGATGAGACACGTCATCTGTCCACCCCTCCGACGCACCTTCCCGGCAACCCTCGCCGACCCCAAAGTCCCCGCAAGCGCTCAATCGCCCCAGCAAATCCCCCGCAAATCACCCAAATTGCAGGTGTCAAAAAAAGCGCGAGAGCGCGGAAAATTTAGCCAAAGTAGAGAGTCCTTTTCCCCCATCTCTCCACGGTTATGTATATCATGTCAAGTCAACAATTCACGCTAAATTGGACAACACTCCGCGTGTCTTTCACACGTTCAACATTCACTCCTGACCGTCACCGCGAACGTCATGAGGGCGGCATATAAATTTTTCATGATATTTTTCGCGCGCGCCATAAAGTGTGGGCAAACCAGATGACACTCTCAAGCATCACACCCCAAACCAATTGCATTCAATTCACCACACTTCATGCGCCCCGCGCGACTTTATTGCACAATACCAGCGCGTGTGAATCACAGAAGCTCACTTCCGAGAGGCTGACAAAGGACCGGATTTTGGGTTTGGCGTCAGGTGAGTTGCGGACGTCAAGGGCCTACTTGTTGATAGAGGGCAGTATTGGATGTGAGGACGCACTTCAAGTGCGATATTTGAGAATAACATTGAAAAAGGTGTAGCTTTGTTCTGACAATTCAAACTAATTTTAAAAAAAATTGTAAAACAACCAGAAAAACCTGTTTTAAATAAGTTTCAACTAAAATTTTTGTTGCCACAACTTTTAAATGAAATTCAAAAGCTCTTTCTCGAACGTAGAGTACAATTATTTTGCCGGGAAATCAGTGCTTCGCAGTCTTTGCCGTCGGCTTTTGCTGCAAGTCGAAGCTCGCGAATTAGTCGCAAAGCTCCCCAATTGTCCACCCCTAGCGACAGCGCGGTGCAGTGTGAAAGCGGTGGGGCCTCTTCACTCACTCTGTCAAAGAGTTTCGGGGTGGCGCTTTTTTGCTGCACTCACCCGCTCTTATCGTCGCGGTGCGCTTCCATCAACCGCAAACTCAGAGCAAGCACATTTGCTCTCCGCCGAGTGTCAGCCGCGAGCCGCTGGGGGTGGAAGAATGGGGGTGTTTTGAGTGTGTGGCCAGGATGATGAAGAAGGATGTGCAGGAGTGAAAAAAATCACGCGACAGGGAAAAAGGACCCTCTCTAAATCCATTACCATGCATTATGTGGGGTGGATGACGAGGGTGAAATGAGGGAGAACATACACCAAATGATGGACACTTTTCGGGGTGGTTTTTGCGGGAGAAAATCCGCGCTGGAGCTCCAGCAAAAAGTGCATCATGAGGGAACATTCCACGAGTTGAATTCGCGGGCTTTTTTTCTCAACGCCGCTCACGCTGTTTGGCGATGTGCGAAAGAATCATAAACAACAATCACACGCGAATAGTTTTCTAAACATTTAATCGCATAAATTCACTCGGGTGGCACTCAAATTTTCCACCACCAAAGCGCGCCACGAGGGGTGTTGAGGAACGCGCGGACATCAAACTATAAATTCCATAATCCATATTTTCGTATTATTTGCGCGGTCAGAGTCATAAAACATAATTCTCTCGCTCACCCCCTCACATGGCGGGAGAGCTTTTTGCGGGACAGCCCAAGCTTTCACTCCGGACGCATTTTCAGTGGCCATATTATTCCATCCAATATATTCTTCACATTTCTGTCTCCCTTCTGCACACGCCACGCCATTCAATGTCTCTCCCGGCCATATATATGGCAAACAATAATAATGAGACATGGTATATTACTTGATTTATATCCTTCATGCCGTCAATAAAGCGCTATTATACCCAATCCCACCCAAAACACACACACACAATCAGTCATTAAAACGAATGGAGCGTTTCGGAGGGGGTGATAAAGTTTCATCATCCCCCCAAACTGAACAAAGACGTCTCATTTGCCCTTCACACTTCTTGCATTATTAACTAAAAATTTTTTTTTATCTAAGCTCATCGCCCTCGAAGTATTGAGATAATTCTTCTTATTAAATTCCGAGCGCTTTTGGAGACATGAAATTTTTATCCATGAACTTTTCGGGAGTCCGAGAGACACGATGAGAGCTGCGAAGGGCGATAATTGCATGGAAAATTTCTCCATTGAGCACATTATGCTGAAAATTAGCATTGTGAAGCATGTGAGAATAAACTTACCTGCACAGAGAGAGATTAAAATTTTCTTGCTCTCCGCAGAGATGAACTTTCTTCTTCTTTTTTTTTTTAATAAAAGCACAGAGTTCACTATAGAATCGGGGCATGTTATAGACGAAAGCTCCTTATTCACCCATAATGCTTCCGGTTGCAACCCTAAACCAAGCCTAGAATGAAGACCTTCAATTGAGTGCCGCCTGGAAATCGTCTTTTCCCGGGGAGAAAATTCATAATTTCATAATTTTACACTGTGCTACGTGTAAATGATCCACCTAATGTCCTTCTGGCAGCGCCCAACCCTCGACAACCCCCGGCGCCGCAGCCCTCGGAAGGGGCGAGACAAGAGAAAAGAGTGGAGAAATGTATGAGTGCGAGGTGAGTTGGTGAATATAAGAAGCAAATTTGATTCTTAAATCTCTTTCTCGTGCTATATTTACACAACCCATTCCCATGGAATCCGCCCTTACTTCTTCTCAGGCTCTCCCTCTCTCACTCAAAATATCACCCTCACATAATTTTTGATGGGCAACCATTCTCCATCCGATATTTCTCATCATATTCTCTCGCTCGCATGTGCCAAATTTTCCAAACATGCCCGCCTTTGAACCCATTCCCGGGCACAAAATGTTGCCCCATTTCCAGGGGTGGAAACTGCATAACGAGTAATTTATAAATATGTCACGTAAATAACGACCCCCTGTGCAATATTCACTTGGCCGTATCTCGGAAGCCACGTCCCAATTTGATGGCATCCACAAGACTTTTGTGAGAGTTGCTCCACAGAATACACGCAACACGACTCCTTCGCCCCCTCACCCTCGCCACCCCCCGGCAAACCCAGCGCTCGCATTTCATCCCCGGATTCACGTGTGGTCCAAGGATCTCCGCCGAGGCGTCTCGTGTCACTCGTCCCTCAAACGCCCGACCGTGTTTCGTCGCCGGGCGCTTCCGGGGGCGGGGAAGCGCCCTTGTGCGATTGTGCACTTGGTGGGCGCTGTGAGGGGGTGCTCTTCAATGGCTGGGATGGATTACAAATTGCGCACGGATCTCACATCTGTTAATCATCCATTTGGACGGCATAACTCATTAGAATATTGTATTGTCGGGTGGATTTATGGTGACAAGGCCCATTTTCAAAAGCACTCCGCTCCCCAGCCGCCCTCCCGCGCGCCCCCTCGGCACCAGTGGCCCCCAGAGCATTCCTCCAGAACGGCGCTTTCGCGCTTCTCCCGTGAATTCTATCGCCAGTTGCTGTCGATAATCACGCGCGCTGCTCGCAATCGAAAACTTTTCCCCGCGCTCTGATTTGTTAGGCGATAGAAAGGGATTTTCCGGCGAAGGAATTTGCGGTGGTTTAACTGACATGAGCTCTGAGGGTTAACTCAGAATAACATATGTATAGAAAGCACTTCTGAAATGTGAATTAAACCCGCCAAAATGTTTCATATTATTTATTCTTTCAAAACGTCTAAACTTATGATCTACACAATATCATATTCTAAGCTAAGCTCACTGGAAGCTCAGCATTAGAAACCCTATAATAACGATTATAACAATATTCATAGAAGAGCATCGTTAGAAAATCTTCAGACACGGACCCAAATCCGAAACTATAGCTTTGCAAAATCCAGATGTTGCCACTATTCGGAAGGCCCAGAAAGGCAGCGGCACGGAATGAGGCCAAGCGGTGTCAGGCTTAATTGTCTCGGGATGAAATTCGGTGGAAAATGAGCGACCCTCGCGAGCTTTAAGCTCCCGCCGTGAGGGTGGAAATTGACAGCGAGTGTCGTTATCTTGTACGCAACAGTACTTACGCATCATTCGCTGTGTTATTTATTTTATCACCTCCGAGGGTTGCACAGGGGTGAGCGGCTCTCGCAGCCCCGTTAATACACTTGACTGTCGTGTTCCGGTGACTGTTAAACTCTCGTTATCCCCTCTCTCGGGCTCTCGCGCTCTCTCGGGCGCGCTCTCGCGAGAGGCGCGCTGGTGTGTGCGAACGAGGTGAGGAGAGGCGCTGCCGAGGCGGCCGAGAGAGACGGAGGGACTGCATGTGTGTAGTTGTCGATGGCATCTCTTTTCGGCGCACGCACAACAGGACCAATCCGCTGACAGATGCACACGAGAGAGAGACTGTTGACGATCAAGTCTTGTGGAAAATGTGAAGCATCAGCGGCATCAGTCAGTCATCTGTGGACAGGCGTTTGGGAAAGAGCGGAGAGAGAGCACCAGCCAGACGGCGAACGTCTTCGTGTTGGACACCTTCTTCTCCCACCCACTCTCACACAATTTTTCGCGGATGTGTTTGAGACTGTGCCGCAGTGCTCGTGGGTTAAAAGTGCCGTCGGGATTCTGGCAGCGCGAAAAAGTGACATTCTCCCGCACAGATTAGGGGATTTCGCGAAGGGACCTCATTGGAATTCCGAGTGACTTCCGTGTTGGGAAGGGTTAGTGTGCGCTCTTTGGGCGGAAAAATAGGAAGGATATATCCGAAAGTGTGGTGCGGAAAATCAGCCCGCCAAGAAGTGTGTGATACTCTTGGCGCCATCTCTGTTGGGGTGTCGTGAGTGAGAGCCAAATTGGCGCAAAGAGTCATTTATCACTGTATCTGGAAGAAAATGCAGAAAACTCACCCCTGATGATGCTTCACGAGGCTGTTATGTTGGAAATCTATCGACAGGCGCTCACGGCAAGGTAAAGCGCCAGCTTCCCCCATCCAACCCCCCTCCAGTGGGTGGCGTTTAATCCACGAAATGATGTCCTCAGTGTTGTGCAATTTATGATTAAAATTTATAATATTTTATAACAGAGTCATATTTGAATGGGAATTGATTTACGATGCTCACAGTTAGATGTTATTGGATAATTCTGTCATTGTCAATTCAACTTGATTTAGTGTTATTGTTTTATTACTCGCTCGCGTTTATTATATTACATTACACACACACACACAGCTGCAGCTGGGAAAAAGCGAGGGGTCACAGTGGCGAAATTATATTCTGCACAGTGGCTCGGACTTTACCCGTAAAATAGTCATTGCTGCAAATTATGACAAATAAATCATATTAAAATTATCTGGTACAGTACTTAAAATAATTATCACACAAACAGCGCTTTCGGGAGTTTCGCGGGGCTGCAGAGGGGTGGCTTTGTGGAGAGTTCCAAATATGCTGATTTAATAATGGCAATTGCATCACTCTTACCAGATATTTCCATCTATATTTCCGCGCTCTAATGCGCCACTATAGTTGGGATTTCTTGGGAAACTTTGCTGATTCTCTTTGTCCTAATTGCGCTCTTCTCTTGCAGTGAATTGTCCAGTCCGCGATGCCTGTCCAGGGATTCCTCGGTGGGCGGTCGCTGTCCCTCGGATGAGTCCATCTACTCGGGCCGCGGCTTGGCAGGCAGTAACGCCACGAGTCCCGTTGCTATCACTCTTCCCGCCACTCTTCCGCCAGCGGCCGCGGCCGCGCTGCTCCCGCCGCAGTCCGCCGCCATGGCGGCCTACCTGGGCGTGGCGGCCGCGGCGGCCCAGCAGAACCGCCTGCTGTTCAATTCCTCCCTGACGGCGGGGCTGGGCAGAGCGGGCTCGCCGCCACTGCTGTCGCTGCCTCTGGACAGCGACTCGCCAGTGCTGGACTTCAGCACGAAGCGCCCCACGAAGAGCGACTCGCGCGACGGTGATAGCGATGCTGTGAATCTGAGCAACAAGTCTGACAACGGGCCGCTGGATTTGTCGGTCAACCGGAAGCGGAATGCGGAGAGCCACTCGCCGCAGATGCCGAGCAGGAAGCAAGCCCGGCCGATTGACTACAAGACCGCGGTGTCGCCCTGGACATCGCCCGTGACGCCATACTTCGCCGCCGCCGTGGCGGCCGCCAGCATCTCGCCGAAGAATCACACCGCCGCGGCCGAGTGGGCCAACGCGAAGGGAAAGCTGGGCTCCGGGCCGACAGACGCCACGAAGGCGCTGGAGAAGATGTCGGAGCTGAGCCGGCTGGGCGGTGAGGACATCTACAAGCAGCACGGCGGGGCGCTCAGCCGCGAGAATACGGTGAGTAGCGGTGGGAGTTCGGGTGGGGGCAGGCACAGTGCCTGGCAGTCGCACTGGCTCAACAAGGGTGCCGACTCGGCCAAGGATGTGCTGAAGTGCGTGTGGTGCAAGCAGAGTTTCCCCTCCTTGGCCGCAATGACCACTCACATGAAGGAGACGAAGCACTGCGGCGTGAATGTGCCGCCGTCCGGTGGCATGTCCCAGCCGCAGCCGCATCCTCCGATTCCCACGTCGTCCTCCTCGTCGGGCTCCAGCTCGTCCAGCAAGCCCTCCTCGTCGGATCTCAATCTCCTGATCAAGGAGACAATGCCGCTGCCGCGCAAGCTCGTGCGCGGCCAGGACGTGTGGCTGGGCAAGGGCGCCGAGCAGACGCGCCAGATACTGAAGTGTATGTGGTGCGGCCAGAGCTTCCGCTCGCTCGCCGAGATGACTAGTCACATGCAGCAGACGCAGCACTACACCAACATAATCTCGCAGGAGCAGATCATCTCCTGGAAGTCCGCCGAGGACGGCAAGGGGCCGACGGGACCAGGGAATGCCAACAGCTCAAGTGCCAATCAGAACGCCGGACCCAACAGCACCGTGAGCGCCGTGCTCACGTGCAAGGTGTGCGATCAGGCCTTCTCCTCGCTCAAGGATCTCAGCAATCACATGGTGAAGAATGCGCACTACAAGGAGCACATCATGCGATCCATCACGGAGAGCGGCGGCAGGCGACGACAGACGCGCGAGAAGAGGAAAAAGTCGCTGCCCGTGCGGAAGTTGCTAGAGCTGGAGCGGGCACAGCACGATTTCAAGAACGGCGAGACCAACATTATGTCCAAGACAATGCGCGAGGCTGCTTCGGGGCGGATAACGTGCGAGAAGTGCGGCGACAAGATCGACACGGTGTTGTTTGTGGAGCACATCAGACAGTGTGTCGGCGGGGTGACTTTGAACTCTCACAGGGTCAAGCCGCCGTCTCTCTCGGGTGCCAACAGTATTCTCCCGCCGTCAGAGAGCGTGAGTCCTCTGACGCCCGGCAGTCGTGACGGGAGGAAGAGCATAGGGGACGAGATCCCGTCCCCGGCTTCCAGGCATATCTCTCCCAATGCTGCGGATCTCTCCTCGCCCAAGGAGGGCTCGCAGGACAAGACCTCCTCTTCCCCATCCGTTCTCAATGCTATTGAGCAGCTGATCGAGAAGAGCTTCGACACGCGATCAAGACACAGCGGCGGAATCCAAGGCCCTAATCAGAATGCGGCTCCTCTGGGATCTAGCATTCTGAAGCGTCTGGGGATCGACGAGAGTGTGGACTACACGAAGCCCCTGATAGATCATCAGACAATGAACTTGCTCAGGAGTTACCAGCAGCAGCAAGTGTATGGACGCAGAGAGAGGAGTGGCAGCGAGTCAAGCTCGTTCTCAGACCGCGGAAGCAGTCGAGTGGATTCGCTGACGCCGGAGAGAAAGGTGGATCAGCCACTGCAGTCGTCAACGCCAAGGCACACTCCTGAGAAGCAGGAGGCCGAAGATCTCAGCGAGAGCGCAGTGAAGATCAAGAGGGAGCCCGAGGATGAGGAGAAGCGAGAAGACACGCCTAGCGCAGCATTGGCGATCAAGAAGGAAACTGAGGAAGTCGAGGACGCTCGTGCGAAGAGTCCGGAAGATGCCGAGGGTGGAAAGTTACGCTCCAGCTCCCTGTCTAGTCCAATGCCGAGTCCCAGGCACACGCCGGTGACTCCGGCCGCGAGTCCCGGAAGTGATAGATCCACGCCAAGATCGCAAGTGAATGCCAGTGAGTCGAAGAAGGCAACAACTGGCGGCAGTTTGGGTGCTCTGTCCTCGATGTTCGACAACCTGACCGGCGGCGGCGCGTCAAATGCCGCCGCCAGCGAGGGTTCGGGGTCTGGGAAGAAGGGTAGCTCTCACCCGTTGGCAGCACTGCAGAAGCTTTGTGATAAAACCGAGACGAATCAAAATTCCCGCACGAATTCCGCCTCCAGCAACTCCTCGCTGGCCTCCAACAATCCTGGCGTGTCAACAAGTTCCACAGCTCCGGGCGCCATCTTGGCCTTCAGCTGGGCCTGCAACGACGCCGTGATGACATCGGACTCGATCATGAAGTGCGCCTTTTGTGATACACCCTTCATCTCCAAGGGCGCCTATCGCCACCACCTGTCCAAGATGCACTTCGTCAAGGACGACGTCATCCCCGATCCGATCGCCGTGAAGAGTCAGAAGCAGATTCCGCCGGCGTCGCAGTCGCCCAAGGGCTCGCCCGTCAACAGTGGCAACGGTGTGACGCCGAGCAGCTCGCGCGAGGGCACCTCAAGCGCCCCGGCGGCCGCCAACGCCGCGGCGCCGGCGAAGAGCCCGCCGCCGAGCGGCGTGGCGTTCGAGGAGAGCCCACATTCCAAATTCCTCAAGTACACCGAACTCGCCAAGCAGCTGTCGTCCAAGTACGTATGACATTCCTAAGGAGCAGCCGGAGTCCGGAAAGGTAAGCCCAGCATCTGAATCTCGTTGTAAAAAGCCTCCTGTGTAAAAAGCCCTCTGATATTCTCAGAAATATCATGTGATGCAACATATCTCTTGCGAAACTGTCGTTAGGAAGCCAAGATCGTGGGTGTTGATGTCACATCGCACCAGGTTTAAGAAAGTGAGAGAGTGAAAAGGCGAAAGATGAGCCCTTCTGGTGTAAATTGTAGCATCTAGAGAGATGAAACCTCATACTTTTTCTATTAAATGTAGGCTAAACCACTAAGAGAAGCCGCGTAGGTCGAGAAATCTGCATATAGAGATTAGGCACTCACTTTCGATGAAAAGCAAGTCACTATAGAGAGGAATCTTCATACAAACTGACGCTATACGAATATAACCTTTTGGAAGGAAATGGAGAAAGTTCAGCCCCAAAATTTCCCCTTGACGAACATTTAACCATTTGCCAAAATTTACGATGATGAAACATAGAAGAGAAATTTTATGGATAAATTGTAACACTGTATACGTAATTTTTGAGATGAAAAAGAAAAAAAGGATCTGAGAGAGAAGTTGACAGGAAAATCCTCCCTATTTGAGAACAAAGCCCTTTTCTAGAATGGAAAGAAAGCCGAAAACTTCTTCAAAATTTCTTTCATGCCGACTATTTTTTGTGATTTTATTGTATAGTGGCGAAGGAGAAATACTACGCAATTTGTATACCGAAAGTTTCAATCAATTAAGAAATAGTAGCATTACTAAAAAAAAAAGAGAGAAAGATAAAATAGTTGAAAACAAAGCAGACACGTTTCTGTAAGATATACGATCTGTAATACTTAAAGAAGAAGAGTCTATATATTTGCGAGAATCTTGAAGTGTGGAGAAAAAACGCACCTTCCCAAAAGGTATTAAGAAAAAAAGGATTGTACTAAATATAAATTTTTTGACTAGAGTAGAAATTTTAATGAAATGAAAAAAAAACAACTTTAAAGGCAAGATAAAACCCACAGCATTTAAAAAAAAGTCTTTTAGTAATTATATAGATAAATCATCACGGAACAACTTTCAAAAGAAATAGTAAAAAAAAAGAGTTGCAATAGTGTTGAAGGAAAAAAAGCGAGAAAAGAAGTTTAGTGAAGAGAACATGGAAAATCTTAATTATTCTATATTAAATAAAAAGGGCCGTGCATTTTAATAAAATTACTGTGTAAATAGAAGTCTTTTTGAATATAAATACAATTAACTGATGCAGCATTGATAAAAAAAAAATTGGAAAGAGATAGAAAACGGTGTGAGAAAATCCAGAAAAAACATAAATTGCTATTAATATTCTTGTCTCTGGAGAGCAAGAAAACTGCAAGTGTATTAATAGTAATAGAGAAAAGTAAATATAGAGAGTAAATCAATAATATTTATTACATAAAATTATATATTATTATATTGAGACTTAATAATATTAAGTAATATTGACAAAAAAAAATTCGTATAGGGGTAAGTGGGGCAGCTTCAGATTCAAAATGCTGTTCCAACTTTAGGATTTTTTCTTGAAAAATCGGCTGAATATATTGAAATATCACAACGCTCAAATAAACTCTCGTCTATTGAGCTTCAGAAAATGCCTTTCATTGGGCATTAAAACTGATCGTTTTTCCTCTAAAGGAGAATGAAAATAATATTGTAATTTATCTGAAACTGCCCCGCACGGGGATGTTTCGGATTGCTCTGGGGCAGCTTCAGATTTTCACTGATATTTACCATAAATTCCATTGTGGAATTGTAAAATCGCGGACAAATGATCACTTTGAAATCTCTTCTACACACTGACACTGTTTGATTCCCTAAAAATCGCCTTTAAAGTAATATTTTCGCGACTTTTCTGGACCCTTGCACGCACTGTCAAAATTTCTGAGCGAAAAGCAAGTTGCCCGTCATTTTTCCTGCATCGCAACGCCACCATGCGTGAGTGGTGGCAACTTCAGTGCCACCACAAATCAAATCAGTGCAAATCAGTGATTTTCGCGTGTATTTTCTCACTTTTCCACTAAGAAGTCGTTTAACGTGATGAAGCAATGCAGCACAGAACGGCACTTTGTGAAAAATCTTCAATATTTGCCACAAGAAAATTTCGACCGTGATGTTGCGTCAGACTGTCAGAGCGCGCTGTTGTCAGTCCGTGGCGATCCGAAACTGCCCCGTGTGCAGTGTTTGTGCATTTTCCACCACCCACTGAAAAGGCCGTGATCAGGAGGAAAAGTTCGGGCACATTTAGAATCTCTACTTAATTCTCAATAACCTTTGATTGTGTTTCACGCGAATTGTGGCTTTTTTAATGGAGAAAACACGCAATCAATTCGGCAGCAAAATTCTAGTTTGTGAGTGATTTTCAATTTTCACTTATTTTATCTAAACAGTCAAGGCAATCCTGTGCAAATGTTCGTCAATTGTAGTCCTTAAGGACTACAAACATTGTGTGAAGACCAGGAATTGATTCATGTAAAAATCTCTGAGAAAATTAAGAAATCTGAAACTGCCCCAATCTGAAGCTGCCCCATTTACCCCTAATTTCTTGTAATCCAATTATTAAATTAAAGAAGAAAAAGAGATGAAGGATAAAGCAGAGATAGTACGAGTAAAAAAAAAACTTTGAAAATATATATTTAGTGAGCAGAGATAAAAGAAACCCATCTTCATTGTTTGGTCTCTTTATTGTTTTCTTTTATTTCTTATTTATATAGCTGAAAATGCAAAATTCCATTTTTTCGATGTTTTTCACAATACAAAAGAAACCAAGAGAAAATTCTGTAGTAAAAAAAAGGCAGAATAATACGAAAGATGATACCTTGTAATAAATTACTTGTATTTATCATGGAGAAACAATTAAAGGAAAAAAAATATTACATAAAAAGTCTAAAAAAAGAAGTAATTATAATTCAAATGGACATAAAATTAACGCTGTAACATTAAAGGAGGAGAAGAAGAGCAGATTGAGAGCGCGCGGTGGCATTAAGTTGATTGAAAAACGTGAAAAGCTAATCAAGTCTTAAAGAAGGAAGGAAAAAACACATACGAACACTATGTATACGCCAAGCTGTCAAGAAAAATTAAGTGAAAATAAAAGAAAAGTTGAAAAATTTAGCTGTTTCTCGATACTTCTCACATCTCGAGGCTCTGCAGTTTTCCTTTGAATCCTTGATGGACGTCGATGGCAAGCAGCCGTTACACTTTTCAGTCGCCGCGCCACTCTTATAAATCACCCGATCGCCCTCTCCGCCTCACTTTTGGTCACCCTCTTCCTGGACTCTGTGAGCGTGCAAACCCGAGGGGTTTGCGACTCAGGCTCTTGGCATGAGGTAAGAGTAATTCTGCGTTATTTCTCTATTTGAATTCATTGCCATTAAGATGGAGATAACGAATTTACGACTATGATTTTCGGGCTCCGGAGCATTCCTGCCCCTCGCCAAGGAGGTGGAAGATTACATTGCACGTTGCAGCAGTCATAATATTTCTGCCCGGGATTTTATGGTCACTCCGAAAGTCGGAGTCTTGCGATTGACAGACAAATCGATGCTTTCCACGCCAGAGACTCGGATTTTGGCCCTTTCTCCAGCGCCAGTCTTCGGTGTGAAAGTTCATAATTCAAAAAGATGGTGTGAGACTCTGTGGAATCTTAAGTGTTTCCCCGCTCTCGATTCTGGATGCAGTAAATTGTGTCAGTTGATGGGATTCCGGAGGGAAAGAGAGCCAGGGACGATATTTATGACACGACAAACGGATGATGAGAGTGAGATTTGAAATAGTCCAACGATGCACAGCAAATGATTCCCATAATTCACGCAACAAGATCATCACGCACGTCATGAATAATATTTCAAGAGTCCATGGCGGCTCCTGAAGCATATTCCGCATGTCTCTTCACAAATGCCTTCGGGTAATGATGCCTTATTTCCTCAAATAGATCCGTGACACATCCAGAAGTGCCTCAATTGCAACACCATGGCGAAAGTGACCCATTAGGAGAGTCGAAAAAGGTGTTTCTCTCTAATCAATGTAACCAAATTGTCGGTCACGGAAAATCCCTTGAAATGCGCGAGAAAGTTTTGGAAACGCATTAAGGAGCGAATTGAATTTACAAAAGAGAACAATAAATGCCTTTTAGAATCAACCTTTCTGATAACATTAGCGCACTTTTGTTTCTGTGTTTTGTCAGAAGAATTTTTGGAAAATCGCAGAGTTTTCATGAGATTCTCTGCAACATTCTGACCGCATTCAAGTCTATTAACCATCAAAGTATTCTAGAAATCCACGCAATTCCGGAGGATTAACTTCTTGTGCTGTGAGGCAAATTTATCAGGCGGAAATCAAAGGCCAAAAAACTCTTGTGACTCGGCACGAAGGCATCTGAAGAGGAGCCATAAGCAATACGAGTAGCGAGATTGTTGCTCATTGCGTCCGCCTTGGAATCCTCACCTCACACTCAACTATCAATTACTGTAGCAAATTCCAATGTAAAGTGTATAAAATATTTCTTTATTCTCTCACTCTGTATGTGAAAGCCATAAATTTATGATTACAAATAGCTGCTGAATGGAGAAAAGCACCCGCCGTGAGCAAATATTAATTTTAGAATTTGCGCCGTGACGCGCTTTTTTCCCTTCCGCGCGGCGCGAAGCTCCAAATGCCAGCGAATTGTGTGCACTTTCGCTGAGATAATTCTTCTGCCCACAAGTGCTTGATGGCAAGGTAAATTCTGATAGCGCGCATCGTCTTTGGAGATTAGCAAATGAGGCGATTCTGCTCCATCTTAATCAGCGATAAACAAAGGTGAGCTCGCGTTATCTTTTTGGCGGAATAATTGTGTGCTCTCGCGGTGTGGGATGGATTGTGGGTGGGGCGGCGGGGGGTGGCGTAGAAAATATGATCGTGTGTTAATTTGCTCGCTGAGAAAACATCAAAGAATGTTTTACGAAGAAATTTGCTACTATTTGATCACAAATCACGGGCACATTAACTCGCGCGCCAGAACGTACATGTGTGCTCACGAGAGCCAACATTGCGCAAAATACACAATAAATAATCTTCTCTCCCTCGTTGGATTACACAAGACACACGCGCAATTGTATGAAGATTGCAGGATATTAAATAATATTTTAATTGGGGTCGAAATTCATGTTGATTTTTCGCTCACTTTTCCCGCGATCTGATTTGCAGAGATGAAACACCAAAGGCGGATCCGTTTGGTGAAAAGTGCCGAGATAAATTCATGAATTTTATGTGTTATCCGCATGTTTTATATTTCCACACTTTTATTGACTCCTCACGAGAGCGCGGCTAAGGAGTTGAAACGCCGGCTCAGACACTCCAGCTCTTCCTGGCCTTTGATGCCTCAGCCCAATGGACTCGGGTGGTGAGTGAGGAAAAAAGACTACAATCCACTTTTCATACATTTCACAGCTTCTTAACCCTTTGCGGCCCGCGGGAAACTCAGCAAAATCAACGAATTACACGTTCAACATACGCTCTGAATATTTATACACAATCTATCTATCAAATATCATGAGATTTCGCATCTTATCTCCTTGAAAACCATCAAAATCAAGACACAGAACAACATCTAGAACAATTGTGAGGAATATAAGTTAGAATTGTGCTCAGAAATGTAACCATCTATGATCCGGAAAGGGTTAAATTGGCCCCTTCAGCTCTTCCGAGAGAAGAAAAATCGCCAATCATCGCGTGGCGGCCAGAAAAAAGGGCATTGACGGATTATTTGTTATCACTTGAGAGCAGCAGAATCAAATTCATACATGAAGAAATGTTGTGTGAAATTTCCACGAGATGTTCTTCATCGTCTGCCTTTCGATGGGAGAAAATTTATGGTCCTCCAATGCATCTCACGGATTTTCCACCCACCCTTCATTGGCGTCTGTGTGTGTGTCTTCACAGCCACTCGGTCATCTCGCCACATTTCGGTGGCTTAAAGTTGAAGATGCATAAATTCAAATAAACACACACTTCTCTTCAAAAATACACCCCGAACCGTCGCGAAGAATCTCTCCCAGGAGGAGATAATTAAAGCTGTTATCAGTTTCCTGTGGGTGGGAATTCCTCTGGAGATTGTCCCTCGTGACGCTGGGCGAAAATGAAGAACAACCAACTTTGCTAAATTGAACATAAATTAATGCTATCGCCTGGAAATTTTCCCACCCACTCGTGGAGAGGAAAAAAGCCTTCATTTGGGGGCGGAAAAGGGTTTCGTCTCGAAATTGCCTATAGAATTGTCTCAAACTGGGTAGTTTTCGTGAGTACGATTTTCAGCGGCGAACTCTCGCAAACACCCATGGCATAAATATATGCAATTTAAAACGTCACGGTATAAATTTTGTTGGGGGCAAAACCCGCCCGTTATAAATCATAATGAGGGATGGCTCCCTGAGATGCTGAATTTGTTGTTGTTCCACTCAACCCGCCCGTGTCTCCGTCCG